CTGTTTCCCTATCTTTCCTGCTTTCTTTTAGGTTAGCTGAATATTTTTCTCTTTCTTTTCCTTTATTTTCCTTTGTGGCTCAAGTGGCCTCTCACTCTGCCCTTCGGGGTTTTGCAGGGGGATAGAGCCCCCTCCTGGTTGCTGCAATGGGATTCCGCTGCCTTCCCCTCTCCCCGGCCCTGCTCCAAGGTTGACACAGCTAAACTTGACTTAACCCCACCTGGCTCTTGCAGTTATAGTTGGCGTTATTCTGTGTTTATGTATGCTTTAAAGTCTGTCAGAAATTCCAAGCATATAATTCATATTTACCCATGGGTTTATTGAATCTATCTTAAATTGCCATTTCTCCATCTGGGATCATTTTCCTTCACCCTAAAAAAACTTCCTATTGTATTTCTATTAGTGAAGAATTATGACAAATTCCTTCCTTTTTGTTTGTCCAAATGCTTCTGAAACTCAATAAAAATTCAATTTATAATTAAAATTGTAATCTGTCCAAATTATCAGTGATTTGACCTATAATTCATTGTTTTCTGGCCGTCAGTGTTTCTATTAAAGAGACAGCCTTCATTTTCATTATAGTTCTTTTAAATGTGCAACATCTTTTTCTCCTGAATTTTTGAAGCTTTGTTCTTTGTCTTACAGTACTGTTAATGTGACATCCTGTGTTTGCTTCTGTTGCTGCTCTTGGTGGTGACACGTGTGTTTATCTGTCATGTGGATTGTGAGGTTCCTAAATGTATGGATGGATGCCTCCACCAGTTGGGGAGACTGAACTCCTAGACTATGGGTTTGCCATATTCTTTCTATCTCTTCTACTGCTTGTTTATGGCTATTTCTGATACTTCTTCTATCGGCCCTCATTTCCTCTGTTCCCACAAAACATTTCAGAGTCTTTGTCTGCTAAACCCAATATCTGGACCGACTGTGAACTGCTTTACTTACTGTTGGTAATCTTGTGGTGACCTCTTCACGTGTGCAGTGGTTGCTAAGTGCGTGCTAAGCCTTGTGTAAGCTGCAGGCACTGGAGGGTGTTTTCTTTCACCGGAGAGGGTTCCGCTGTCCTTTCCTGAGAAGCCAGGTGAGGGCTCATCATCTGAATCAAGTCAGAAATCAAGTCAGAAGGGGCTGCGAAGCCTGCTTGCCTGCAGTCCCTCCCGGTCCTCTGCTGACCCTCCTGTGCTTTCGACGGACAGCTGTCAGGCCTTTGCTGCTGAGCACCAAGGGCCACAGGAGGCCCAGCTCTGCGTCTCACACTCCCAGCTTCACTTCCAGCCTCCTGCCCGCCCAGATTCACACTCTGCACAGGTTTTGAGGATGAGACTATCCGGCGCCCGAGGCTGCCACCCACCTGTCAGCCTCCTGCTCGGGAAGCACCCCCATCATTAGAGAGGGTTTCCTGGGCTCTTTGTAAGCTTCAGCCTGAGGCCACAGTCACCAGATCAGTGAAGAGCTCCCCAGGTGCACCGTGTGCAAGTGGCTGTTCACCGGAGGCTCCCAGGTCTCCAACTTGTATCTTTGTCCTGTGCAATGCCAAATGCCATATGGTTTATCTTCCCAACAGAAAGGGCTCTCTGGGCGCCTGCCTGTAATCCCAGTGGCTCGGGAGGCTGAGGCAGGAGGATCATGAGTTCAAAGCCAGACTCAGCAAAAAGTGAGGCACTAAGCAATTCAGTGAGACCCTGTCTCTAAATAAAATACAAAATAGGGCTGGGGACATGGCTCAGTTGTCGAGTGCCCCTGAGTTCAGTCCCCGGTACCACACACGCACACACACGCACACAAACACACACACGCACAAAAAGGCTCTGTGGACCTGTGGAAGAAAAAGAAAAGCGGCTGGTAATCACCAATTCACTTCAGAAGGCTTCTGCCCACCTAGAATTCAGTCACTTGGGCAGAATTTTTGAAGATTTTAAAAATATGACTTTTGTAATTAACATTTTTTGGGGGGTACATAACCGATTTAACACAATCCATGCTGTCCAGAAGTGGGGGATCCTGGCTTTGTTTCCTACACATGTGAACACAAAGTTGTGTCACTTAAGAAAGACATCTCAAAAAGTCTGGGGAAAATCATTAGCTGAGCTGGTGGACATATTCTTCCAGCAGTTAAATGTTCTTCCCCACGAGTCAATCTGGCGATGTTATTTTTCCAGATGTATGCTGCCTGTGAGCTGAGGACCATGCACAGGAATACCCCATGGAACCAACAGAGCATGTGCTAGTGGAGGGTTATGGGGACCCCAAGCCCACTCCTGCAGACTCCCACAGACATCACCAACTCCCAGTAGAAGAAGGAGGAGGGAAGAGCATGGGGTGGGAGGCTCTGGTCCTGGCTGTTGCCGGGTGATGGTCACGGTGTGCATTCAGAGCTAAGGACGGGGCTCTGGAGCCACACTGCCTGGCCTCACCATTTTCCATGCAAATTTCTTGCCTTCTCTGTGCCTCGGTTTCCTTAGCCACAAAATAACAGCACCTGCTTTGTAGTCACGTAAGAGGAGCAGTTTTGTCAGTGTATAGAAAGGCGCCTGGCACATACTTAACCTGCCAAAGTGTTTGTGCACTGACTAAGTGTTGTGCACACTCTCCACCACCCTGCCCTCTGGGCTCACTCCATTGACACCAGATGATTCTGCCTTCCACAGCATCTGCCCTGCAGAATCTCTCATTTCTGCTCAATTCTTGCAGAGTCCTGAAGTCTAACAACTAGTGCCCTTTAAGGACCACCGGCCATTGCCCCTCCCTTTCCACTGGAGCCTAGGGATTGTGGTAGGGATCAAACCAGCAGTGTCCCGTCCCACACCCTAGGCTTTGTGGTGCTGTTGTTGCTTGCTTATGCATTCAGTTTGGGGACATTTTGCTATCAAGACTGGAAGTTTCGTGAAGTTCCAGAGACGGGAGACTGACTTATGGACTCTGAATACTCTTTATGGCTTCTGTCCTAACACTGGCTCCTTGATTCTGTCCCTTGAAAATCCCTGCTGCCGGGAAACGGGAGCTCAGCAGAGGCTTAGAGTTGGGCGGGGCACACTGACAAGCCTGGCTGCCTCCAGGTGACCTTCTAACTCTGAGGACCACGGCCTCTTGACCCTGCCATGCTTTTGTCTCTGTTGTTTGGATGGAGAAGCTTCTGGGCAGAAGTAGGACCGGAACGTGGTATTTGGTGATTTGGAGATGGGGTGAGAGCCCTGTGCTTTCTCCACGGTCCTCCCAGTCTGATCTCCAGGATCTCGCTCTTTCTGACTGATGTTATGACATGGATCTAGAATGTTCCCCAAGCCCCATGTGCTCAAAAGTGGGGCTCTGGGGAAGGGGTTGGATCGTGAGGGCTCTGACCTCATCGGTGCGTCAATCCCTGGATGCCCGAATGAACCCCTGGGAGGTGGGACCCAGTGGAGGAAGCTGGCCCCCCAGGCGTGCCCTGGACGGGCCCCTTCTCCAGGCCTGTCCTCTCCCTCTGCTCCCTGATGCCATGAGCAGCTCTGCCAACCCTTCTCCATGACGCTCCTGCCTCGTCTCAGGCCCAGGTCATGGAGTCAGCCAGCGTGGCCTGGATCCTCTGGAACCTGAGGTTGTGGCTCAGTGGTAAAGTGCTCGCCTCACACATACGAGGACCTGGGTTTGATCCTCGGCACCACATAAAAATAAGTAAATAAAGGCATTGTGTCCATCTACAACTCAAAATATTAAAAAAAAATCTTTAATCTTTTCATTTGTTTTTATCAAGGATTTTGGTCACAGCAATTAAAAAGCTAATATAATCAATCACTTTGGAGAAGTCACAGAACTGTCCTTTTCAATACCTACTTGTTATGGCTGACTGGCTGCTAGTCGAAAAGGGATGCCCACAGCAACATCACCCAATCGTCCCCTATGCCCAGGATCAAGTCAGGCAGAGCTCTGTCTTCAGGCCTTTGGGAGAAGAGGGAGCAGCTAGTCCAGTTGCACGTTCAGACACCTTCCTCCTGAGGGCTTTCCGCCTGAGAGACCCTGCAGTTGCTACGTTAGCAACCTGCTTTGTGTCGCCGCCACAACATGGAGTGTCACTTGATATGCCAGCGAGGTTCTCGGGCACAGCTGCCTGCCTTGGGCACGCTGGCCTGATGGACAGTTTCTGGGTTGGAGTGTGAGTTCTCTGTCCCACTGTGAGAGGCCTGTAGTGGCCCTCTCATCTCTCAGAGCCGTGACCTTTAATTCAGGGAACATGTGGACCAGGGTCGCTGGAGCAAGAGGAAAAGACAAACAGACCCAGAGAGAGAGAGAAAGCTGGGGCCAGCTGGCAGCCAACCTCCGATGGAGTCGGACTGACCTGGAGCTGGCCCAGCTCTTATCTGTCACCCTACCTACACGTACAGGTTTCATCCTCAAAGGTCATTTGTGGTGAAGTCTTAGCAGAGCAGTCCATCTGAGGGACACAGGACTGGTGAGACATTAGGGTTATCCTGTTATGCTCAAGAGTTTCTGTTCTTGGGAGCTGGTGCCTGAGCCCAAGGTCCTGACCGATATAACTCTGAGCCTTTGGACAGAGTTTCCTCGGTCACCATAGGAACTGGGCCATCTGGACCTGCAGCTCTGCACAGGAAGTTCCCAGCACAAACACAGCCTCGGGAGAGTCAAAGTAACTGACTCTCCTCATGGACCCTCTGAGCTGGGTCCATAAAAGCATTGTGGGGAGGACGGGGCTGTGTTAGCCCGTGGGTAGAATGCGGGGGAGTTTGAGGAGTCTGTCTCTAGGAGAGTGTCTGTCACCGACAGATGCAAACAAAACGTGGGCCATCTCAAGAGCACGCGTAGTCGTGGGGTGGAGGGCAAGGGGCTGTGGAGTCTTCCTGTACCATCTGGAGGTGTGGCACCTGCTGACCAGTCCAGCTACCTCCTGCCGTGCTCCTCCCTGGCCACCTCACTCGCCCAGTCCCGACTGTCAAGTCCAGGTGCTCCTGGCACACTCTGCACTCGCTGCCACGTCTGACGGCTCTGCTCTCCTTCTCCCCGCCCAGGTCATCCATCAGCTGAGGCTCTCGGAGAACGAGAGCGTGGCGCTGCAGGAGCTCCTCCAGTGGAGGCGCAAGCTGTGCGAGGAGAGAGGAGACTGGCAGCAGGCCCTGCCCCACAGCGAGCCCAGGGCGCCTCCGCCGCCTCCCTGCAAGAAGCCCACTCTGCTGAAGAAGCCCGAAGGGGCCTCCTGCAACAGGCTGCCCTCTGAGCTCTGGGACACCACCATCTGATGGCCCTAGAGGCTGCCTAGTGAATCCAGGAGCGTCCAGGCAGCTGCCTTCCCACCGACTCGCTGGGTCTTCCCTCTGCGCATTCACACGAAAAAGCACAGGACATTGACACTGGCTAGACAAGACTTCCTGTGTGTGTGTGTGTGTGTGTGTGTGTGTGTCCTCGTTCTTTCTTATCCATTTTGTGGTAACACACTCTGATTTTCGGGATCCACGTCTATAGGGTGCACTGCCCCTGGAAAAGGACAGAAAGGCTGAGGAGAGCGGGGGTGAGCGGAGGGTGCAGACAGCAGTGTGGGAAGCAGAGCTGCTTGACTGTGCGCTGTGTCCCTTCAGCCCCAGACACGGCCTCTGTCCTCATGAGCACCGGCCGAGGTGCAGTGCACAGGACACACCTTTCGTTTCTTTGTAGGTGCGTGTGTGTTATTGGAATTTCAAACCTGGTAATTATTTACATGTTTATTATTGTATTTTATAACTTTCTGAAAATGGTGGTGCTCCCTTTCTTCAAAAATACAGATTTTAAAAGGTCATTTCTAGTTTTTTTTTTTTTTTTCCCTCCACACACCTTTTTTTTAACCGAAAGCACCTGGAACCCTTGAAACGGTCGCTTTGGCTTTGCCGTGTCACCCTGCAGAAGCCTGGGCGAGTCCAGGTCCAGCTCCCCTCTGTGAAGAGGACGCAGTCCTGCACTGTGTTTTGGGTAAGCGGCTTGTGCACCCCCTGGTTGAACCCCACCCCCCATACCAGCTTTGGCATAGGCTACAGGCAGTTCGTGGCACTCAGACTCATGGCTGGTGGTGCACAAAAGGTGTGGATGAGCAGACGGAGCCACGCTGCTTCCCGCAGCCACATTGCATTGCAAGACGCCCGCGAGCCACGTTGCATGCCTCGCTTGCTGTGTCCCTCACCTGCTGTGACGCAAGCCTTGTCCCCCTGTGCTTCCGCCGGCTGTCGGGAAATTCTGGGCAGTGCCCGGACCCCTCTGTCTTGCTACACGGGCCTTTTATCCATACCAGCCTTTGAAAAGTTACTGTGCCAATAAAAGGGTCAACTGTGTTCTGCGTTTACTTATTGCGGGCGGCTGTCCCCGGAGCACTCGTGTTTCCTGGTCAGCTAGGCGGGCTGTGGGGGATCTCGCCCACCTTCTGAATGGGTTCACCTCCATGGCAGTTGGCAAGCTCCGTCTCCACGGGGTTTGTCTTACAATACGAGCTTCCCGCCCCTTCAGGTATGGCAGTCCAACAAACCAGGAGGCAACTCACCTGAAAAGATTCCAGAAACCCCGAGAGAAGCCGCACACTGCCCCGGAGGGTCACGTGAGGGAGGGCCACGTGGGGAAGCTAAGGGAGGCAGGAAGCGGGGAGCCGAGGCTGCACTGTCCGTCTGCAGGGGGGCGGTATGCCAGGAGCAGTCCCCGCACGGGCTCCGGGGCAGGAGCGGGCCCTGGCTGCCTGTGGTGACTTGGGCAGGTGGACGGCCTGGAACGCGAGCCGGAGCCCGGTGAGAGCTGGAGAGGAGGTGCTGGGGTGTGGGCTCTGAGTGGCTGGTTTGCTGTCTCTAGCTGGCCGTGGAGAGCTGAGGCCAGTGTCAAAGCAAGAGAAGAGACCAAGGCACAGCTGGGCATGTCCACTGCGCCGAGCTGCTGCCATCCAGCCCTCGCCAGGAGGCCCACAGTGAGGGCACTGGAGCTGCCCCTCCTCTCTACCCTCGCCCTCACTCCTGACTCCCTAAACCCTGGCCTGTGGTTACACAGCTGTGGTAGGGCTCTGTGGCCGGCCCTCGCTGGTTATAGGCGCTTACAGGTCTTGGCAGAATTCCAAGTTTGCACTGAACCCCCGACATACACACATGATAGACATTAATGGGGACCCAGGTAGAACATGGTCTGCCCCGGGGAGAACTGGTTTCCTGTGTCCCTGAAGCACCTGCTGCAGCCCCTAGGGGCGTGGTACCTGCTATTTCTAAAGCACACTGTCCAGTTGGCTGCCATGACAGATTACATAGGTCAGGTGGCACAGACATTTATCCTCAGAGCTCTGGAACCCACCAGGAAAGTCAAAACCCAGGGCTCCTCCAGATGTGGTGTCCAGTGAGGGCTCCCTTCCTCGCCTCCAGATGGGCATCGCCTGCAGCCCCACAGGGCAGACAGGGGGACGGAGCAAGCTGAAGGGCCTGGTGCCCTCAAGAGGCTCCACCTCATGGCAGTCACTTCCCAAAGGCCCTGCCTCTTCTGCTGTCACGCTGGGGACTAGGTGCCAACATCTCCTCCTGGGAGCGCACATTCAATTCGTGATGCTGACATGCCTACAAGGTAATTGGTATCATCTTTGTATAAATACCAAAATTGAAGTTCATTGTTTTAAGTAGTCCATTAAAATATAAACCTTCATCTTTATGGCTCTAACATGCCGTTTTTTACTTAATACACATAAATTGTCATCTTATTATATCAAAATACATCTTCAAAAAATCAAACCAAGTGAAGTTTTTTGGATACATAGATGTGTGAAACTGTATTGCAAGACTGTTGTAGGGACCCACACCTCTTGAGGGTCCAGATCACACTACTCTCTTCACAAGGCACAGTGTGCAGGCCTGTATAGCCATCAGGGGCCCTTAACAGTCACCCGTGGGTACAGGAGCATCATCAAATGTGGCTAATCCACCTCTCCAGGGATCCCTCTGCCTCCTTCAAGGTTTATCAACCTCTGAAAGGAAGCCACAGCCACTGCACGTGCAGAAAAATGGTGGTGTGCTCGCTGCTTGAGCACCACCTGCTGCACCTGTCTACTTACCTGGGAAATCAGAGGGGCCTCCACATGTGGCCATTATTGTGGGTATTACGACTAAGACTGCCACACTCCTTGCAGACAAAGCCCTAGTCTTCGTGCCTATTAAAGCTCCTTTTGGAATGACCAATGATCACTCCATTGTAAGAAAGTGGACAGAGGCACTATTCTGGGTCATAAAGCTCTACATATAATTTCCTATAAGCAAGATTCCAACAGCTGCATCTGCTTACAAAATAATGATGGTATTTTAATTGCCATCAGGCCATAAGGTATGAATTATAATATATTATTGGGCCTGCAACCTTATGTTTAGCAACATAATTGGTATGAATTATTACCCTATGTTCAAACAGTGCCCAATCCTATAGCTTTTTTGGAAATTATTTATGAGAGGGCTCTAAAAAAACTACTATCAGAATGTTTATGGTGGGTTAAAATGATTTAAAATGTTTTTTTCTGGGGTGGAAAAACATCATTACTATTCTTAAAGAGTGGTATCTAATTTAGTAGAGTTATGATTATATAAATCTACTCAATAAAGGTAACGACTAATTAAAATCTGAGATTTGTGAACAGACTTCACATATAAACATTACACAAGTTGAACAAAAAGTACATTATGAATCTAGAATCTAGAAAAACTCCCCAGCTGTCCACCTCTAGCCAGACATCGAGTTCAACTCCTGTCTCAGCAACAAGCACAGAGTGTTGAGCTACTGCTCACCTCAGAGGGGGCCTGCTCACCCCAACTGTCACGTCAAATGGCTCATTCTCCCCATAACTCAGATGTTTTGGTGAGAAGTAATGGAATTGATTTCTACTCTAATTCTCATAAAAAATACTATCAATGAAAACATCTCAAAATTACTGAAGCAGGAAAAAAAAACCCTATATTCCAAATAAATTTTAGCATGATTTAAATACACTTTTCAAATTGTTTTTAGCAACACACAAAGATCCGTACAGTGAAGATGAAAGCCATTATATTTCTATTTACTGGGGAATGGTAAGTTCACTGCTTTCAAAAAAGCTAAAAGCATAATTTCTACCTTCATTCTTCTTCCTTTACATCTTATTCATCAGCAGGAACTTTGTAAAATAATTCCTCTACAAATAATGCTCTACCCTGCCAGGTGTCCTCGTGAATCACAAAGGTTCCCGAGATGGCAGATCGGGGCACAGCAGGCTGGGTCTCGGGCAGGAAAGAATTACCTTTGTAGATTTTTCACTTTGCCTAAGTACTGCAGACCCCTGGGATGTTCTATTATTGTGGTTTCCATAAGTTTCTCTAGAATCCAGGATGCTTTGTAAACTTTAAAGATGATATTTTTCAAAGGATAAGTCTTATTAGAAGCCTATAATACATTTCTGTCACCTGTTCTAATTTCTCAGCTAATTTTCCTGGGTTTTTGAAGTGTATTTATGCTTTAAATATCATTTTTATATGCTTTGACATAACGTGAATATAATCTGGATTTTATGTGGCTTACCAGATCATAACAATGGCAGAAGAAAATTTTGATGTCTTCTCATAAAAAAATAATTAAAGGTGAATGAATCTACTTGTTCATTTCAATTGTTGTCTGATAATAGGAATTCACCAAATGTACCCTCTCCATCCTTTGAGTTGTGGTCCTCAGGCACCCCATGTGTCTGCCGGCTGGCCTCCCCCACAGCCCCAGGGCCATGTGTGGCTTCAAAGGAAGCTGGGAGCCCCTGTGCTTGGGCTACACTTTCCTAATGTCACCATTTGGTTTCCAAAGTCTAAAGAAAATGAAAGAGAGTTAAACTATTGATAAATCCTAAGGGGGATCAAAGCTCTATAGGAAAATGGAAGAAAACCAAATTCAATTTGAGGTTTTGATCTTTTAAGCTTTTAACAAACAGAGGCTGGAGGTGATCTAAAACAGTTACTCGAAAAGTCTTTCTCTGCCATTTTCTGAGGACAGGTCTCCTTCTTGGGCCTGTACAGGGGACTAATCAGTCAAATTGGCTCTTAGTGGTACCAGGACCAGCAGATGCCCCCAACAGGAGCCCTCTTGCTGTTCATCAATAGGACAAAATCATCTCTTTTAATGATACAAAACCAACTTCTGGACCCTTCTGCTCTACGTAGGCAATGCACACGCGTGTGGTAGGGAACTCGCTCCTCCTAAAATGACAACTGCTTTTTGCGGCTGAAGAACCGTCACGGTTCCCTGGGGCTTAGCCGCTGTCCTGAAAGGTCGACAGTCCATGCCATAAGAATCAAGAAGAGGACAGAAGCCACACAGTCCTCATAAATGTGGCCACAAATACCAAGGGACATCGAGGGCCAGGAGCTGGGAACTCAGAGGGGACACTCTTTCTGAGGTGCTCACCCTCCAGCCTGGAGACAAAGACATGATCCGTGGTGACCCTAGACTTTCAGTCTAGGGTCCCGTTAGAGATGTCTCCTCCGGGGATATGAAGTAGGAGCTTCCCACGTCCTTCGCTAGTTCAGACAGCCACTCCCGGCCCACACGTTGCCCACCGTGACCAACGCAGACCTTAGAGGTCCAGGTGGCTCGTCTCCTGGTTCAGTCCTGACCGTGGGCATCTGACACTAGGAAGCAGCTTCCTGACGTGTCTGGAGCCCGCACCCCCGGCCATGCTTGTTACTCGAGTAGACCGTTTAACAAGCCTCCGCAGAAGCTGTGGCTCCCCGCAGCAAGCCCCGGCTGCCATGTCAGCCAACCCGAACCACGGCCCAGGGCCTGCCGACTCCACGAAGTACCTCAGAGTCCAGGGGCCTGCACCTCCTGGCTGCCACGTTCTGACTGCGACTGCAAGTGACCATGAGTAAGGCGCACCCACCTGAGACCAGCCAGCTCTACAGGATGGCAGTAATGACCACCAGGAGGGTACGCAGGAGTTAGAGCTTGCTCAGTTCTTCGTACATGGTCCTGATTTGGCACAGGGGAAGGGTGAAGCCATCCATCAGAGGGACCCGGGCTCAGGGAGGCACACAGCCCCCCCATCAGCATGGCTCCACCCCCCACAGAGGAAAGTGTAGGAGCACTGAGGAGCACAGTGGAGGCGTCTCGGGGCCACACCTGCCCACAGGAGGCAGTGACTCCTCCTGCCACTGGTGAAAACTAACGGGAAACCATCTGGGAACTATAGTCAAGAGCTCAGGAAGAAGAAAAATGGCGTTGGTCAAAGAAAACCACCCTTCCACAAGATCAAGAGAGACCGACGGCAACGACATCATCAAAAAGAGAAAAAGGAAACAGGAATGGCCAC